TAATCTTAATAATATTTTTTGTGAATATTGATTTCTCATTTAATAGACAATCTAAAATTGATTTAATTAATAAAAAGATGAACCAAAAAATCTAAGAATGAACTTTTGATGCCAACTTTTTTGCATTTTTAATATTATGATAAAGATTATTTTAATTTCTAAGCTTATTATAGTATAAATATAAAGAGAGTAAAAAATACAAAAATCAGAGAAAATACTACTAAATCAAGCAATGCAAACATTTACTGAATTTTCAAATAGCTTTGTTCTATTTTTATGTTGATTTTTTTATATATTTGTCAACCGTATTTGAAAGATTCATATTTAATAATTTCATTGATTTTGTAAAAATATTTATAATGGTATTAAAATTTTCTGCTAACTTTATTAAGTTATTCTAAAATATTTATTTATGTTGATTTTAATTATTTGTCAATGGACAGTCGTATTTCGAAAAAAAATCTTATCTGATAATTTTAGAATTGTTATAATAAGATTTGTATTGATATTTTTTAATTAAAGTGGTTTAATTGAATCAAAATTATGAAAAACTATATAAGAAATAAGCAAAGGAAAATACATACTTTAAAATAATAATATAGTGATTTTAAAATAGAATAGCAGGTAAAATAAAAATGTATATTTACTTTTAGCTGACACGATGAATCTGTTAAAAAAAAAAAAAAAAGTAATCCTCAAGGGAGGTTTTCGAAATTTTTGAAAAGTGATGGGGTCTCTTTAATTATCGTGAACCTAGGTTTATGCAATTTGCTCCCCCCCACCCGAAAAAAAAAAAAGGAGAAGAAGAGAAAAAAAGAAGAAAGAAACCTCCACAAAATGACATGAAGAGACCTTGGTGGGATCCTGGCATTCTGTTTTTGGTGAAAATAGATCTGTCCTGTTTACTTTTCAAATTTTACTTCCGTTTTTTCATCATTTTTCTTTTACAATTATGTGTGACTTGAAGTGAAAATCTGATGGTACTTTTCAATACATGCAGCCAACTTTACCCGTTACAGGAAGACAGGCACCCCGAGCAGGGTACTTTGGACATATGACTCGAATATCAAATAAACTTGTTCAGTTGGGAAACAATGACAAACGCATTCAGCCATATCTTCAGGTCTGTGATATGCTGACACTTGTTTAATTTATGCCACGTTCCTTTATGTTTTACTTAAAAGCAGTCTACATTCCCAATTTGAAGGGAACAATTGTAACTGAGCCAGTACTTGTTCATATGGGATGTCAAATATGTTCTAGTTGATCAAGAGGTAGAGTGGATTCATTTTTTCAGTTCTTGTAATTGTCTGGATAAAGTTTTCAGTAAAGTTGTCTTTCTATCAGCTTGTTGCCATTATTCTGCTCTATGCTTGATATGCATATCATCATGTGATCAGAATCATGATCTGTTTTCAAGATTTCTCGCCAAGCTGCAGACTACAATAAAAGCACCCGTTGATTATTGCTCCTGAACTTTTTCTTGAAACTTGAATCTTTAAAATGTATTAAAGGCTGTCTAAAGCAAAAAAAAACTCGTGTCTATGCAAATATTGAGTCTCACAATAAGTTATGTGACTTGGATTTATTTTTTTCCGTGCTCATGCAATGTTGTTTTTTTGCTTTAGGAAAATAATGNCAATCTCCACCATGGGCTTCGTACTGGTTCTTGACCAGTTCGATTGCAATCCTGTCAATTGTGCAGGACCGGAATGGTTGGGCGGCCGGGTCATCGGTTTTCTGGTTGGACTGCCCAGTCCGGTTTTTTTAAATACGAATTACTGGTGTATAAAGTGAAGAAACCGTAGCAAATCGTATATCCATCATTCTTGCTCGTACTTGCCAGCATTGATTATGCATGTTAACAGATTTATATTTTGTTTGTCTCACTTTTGATTTTTAAGGTCTTATAATGTTACTTTTGTAGGTGTTTTTGTCATTGTATTATATTATAGTACTCCCACATATGTCAACTCTAACACACTTCTGTAAATATATAATATTGTTTATAGTTATAAATCATGTATGGAATGCCAGAGACGCAGGCATTGCTGGTACTTAAAATAATATTGTGTGGAGTGGACACTTCGGAAGCAAATGTTTGCAATCTCTTTCCCCTTGTGAATTCCATAGTGCTGAATTTTGGACATTGATTGATGAAAATGCAGGATGTTTACTTTGATGATGAATCTGCAGAAGTAGTGATTTCATCCCTAAGGTTGGGCGATGACCAGGGAAGGTGAGTTTCATTGCGATTTTTACAGAAATTTAAAGTTGTGTCAATAGGGGCAGACTTATGCTCAAATAGGATAGATATTCTATCTTTTTGATTATATGCTGTAAAATGATTTGCACTGCAATTGTAGATTTATTTACTTAGGTTCACAGGATAAGTGGTGTTTGCTCTTGCTGCAAGTAACTGTAACAAGCCTCACAAATAGATTGTCATACGAATTGTATAGAATGGGAAAGGAAAGTACAAAAGACTTTGAAAGACAGGAAATGGGAGTTTTTGCAAGAATGAATCCGTTTACTATCTGCCTGTATTATGCAATATTATTATGTGGGCTTCTGTGATGTGCAGGAAGTTAGAAGCTGGCTATCAAGCAAGCCTATTTGTCGTCGTATGAAATTGTCCAGTTCTTTATCAAGCAACCCTATTTTGTCATTGTTTGAAATTGTCTAGTTCTTTCTTGCAGAAGTTTGTTTACAAACTCCAACTGGTTTACCTTCCAAGGTGACAAAATTGGCGATGCACCTGGGAGAACTTCGCTTCGTGATATTATGGATGATATCAATCGGAATGGAACATCAAATGGTGGTAGCAGCAGTAGTGACGATGGGGTAGTGGTTGGAGAGGACGAGGAATTGGTTGATAGCAACACTTTTGCCAATGGCTCGTCTGGCTCTAAGACTAACCCTTTCGATAACTTCTACGGAAACAGCCCCGTCAATGGGGGAGATTCAGTTCCCAAGAATAATATGGCCGGTACCTCTGGAGACGGTTACTTCCGTTTTGAGACGTCAGACAATGATGATCTGTTTGGAGAAAGGCCCATACCTGAGTGGGTCGCATGGGGGGAGAGATCAGATTTTCAGGTTGGTGGTGGGTCGAGTGCGAACCCATTTGTTGACCAAAACGATACAAGTGACAGTCCTGCTACTTTAACGGATACGAGCACTGCCCAAATCAGTTCCACTTCAATTGGAGGCTCTCTACCAAACGGCACCTCCCATTCTACAGATTCAAGTGATGATTCAACTAAATGTGATACAAGTCAAAAATGCATCGCTTTCCCCTCCCTGTTTGAAGAGGATGTTGAATTTGTGGGTGTAGAACCAGAGGGGACAGAACAGGCAATGGAGCAAGCTCTCAAGGAAGGTGGTGTTGGCGAAGCTGGGCCATTGAAGACGAATCTCTCTCCGAAGACCCCAGAAAAGGGGGATACACAAGATGATGAAGCAGGGATGAAGGAATTCAACGATGCTAACTATTGGAGAATAGATCAAGAAGTTGCAGTGTTGGAGTACGGTGTCAGTAATTTTTAGCCTTTGAACTTGGGAACCAAAAAATCTGAGGATATCACATTTTCCTCATTCTTAGTTTTCAGGGGTAATGCGATGGGGATATGTACAGTGTATTATTGTTCAGTTGGGATCATGATGTAGGGTTCATGATGATTATTTATGACTACACTCGTTTTAGGGTCGTGACACACTTTTAAGATTTTGTGCACACTTTCTATTTTTTGGTTCAAAAATTTTGTCCGTCTGCTACATTGCTAAAGCATGATTCATCAGTGTAATATGAAACTTAAATTTTTAAAGGAATTTCAGACACGTACCCCCTCCTGTAGAGCATTATGGTCTGTGTGAAAGCTACATGCACAATTTTTACTCATTAATGGTGGGTTGTTATTAGACAATTGCTATCATCAGCCATGATCCTTGGCAAGGCATTTTCGATTGGTAATGTTATTCATCGCTACTGAAGATATTCACTGGTCTAGGTGGCAATATAGGTCTTTTGATTCATTCGAAAGAGTTATGAAGTAATTTAATGCATTGGACAATAACGTTTTTAGTATATTTTTGTAGAAGTTGATGAAATGTGTAATTGAAATGTTGTTGACTTTGATTTGGATTGAATTTGAATTTCCACCAAATACGACTATATTGTTCATATTACACTGTTTAGCGGCGTAAACCAAAGTTCCCTAAAATAAAATTGTCTAGTTCAATACTTGCCCGATTGATAAATACTTCGTCCAGTCCACAACTAGGGATTGCAGAGACATGGCACGGGACGAACATTACTATCCCATATCATCGGACAATTTTGGCATCTGGGATGAAGATTCAAAATTTCTCATTTATCGTATCATTTAGTTATTTATTTAATTTTAATTAAATTTAAATTGTAATAAAAATTTGGGGCAGATTCTGCATATTCAAGATAAGAATTCTCTACCTCATTAGAGGCTCCCTACTCATTAACCTGCAACTGCCCATCACCTCTGATATCTGAATGTACCCTTTTCAGAGAGTAATTCAGAAACTTAGGGGGTGTTCTCTTTGTGTTTCAGTTTTGTGTTTTGAGTTTTGAATTCATTTTGAATTTTGTGTTTTGAGTGTTTGTTTTGAAATTATTGAAAATGCGTTCTTTTTGTTAGTTTCTCAAAACAAAAAAAAATGATTTTTTTTTTTTTTTTAATTTTGAGAATCACCACAACACCACCTAAAAAAAAAAAAATTAATTTTAATTTTTTTTTTAAATTTTGAAAAACCCCCCACCCCCCCCTAAAAAAAAAAAAAAAAAAAAAAGTCGTTTTGTGTTTTCTTCACAAATTTTTTTTCGTTTTCGAAAATTCGTTTTCAAAAACGGGAAAGAGAACACGTTTTCACCGTTTTGAAAAATCGAAAACAGAAAACGGCCCGAAAACAGTAAAGAGAATAGGGCCTTAAAAGCGTAATTTCTCGCGACAAGATAAATTCCTTCCAAAGAGAGAAACTTTTGACTCGGGTCGGGTGTACCAAATTAAAAAATTAATATCCGATCCGGACAAGAGCAGAATCTCAGTCATTCAAATAATCTGACAACTAAATCCTGACCGTACATTTCTCTGACGTCTTTTTAATTTGAAAACGACACAAGAGAAGAGAGGCCATTAAATGGGTCCACAGTACTCACTGCCACGTCACCAAATTTATGTCGTTTTTACTTTTTACTTTTGACTGGTTGCTTTGACTTTATTACCAGGCTAAGGCTAAAAGACAAGCCAACCAAAAATATTTTAAATTTTAAATTTTTTCTTTTCCGTTTTAAAGTTCGTAGGACTTTTTCCCTAATGGTGAGTTTGATTATATTTATTTTTCATGAAAAATATTAATTTTTCACTCAAATTTCTATTTAGAGTGTTTGATTGCTATATTTTTCCGTGGAAAATATTTTTCAACTTTTGAAAATATGCCTAATTTTCCTTGTTTTTAAGGAAAACATTTTCCTTGGGTAGATGTGATTTTTATTTTCCACAAAAAATGAAAAATATTTTCTTTTTTAGGTGATATTTTTCATGCCAATCATACACACTCTAAAAAAGTAAAATGATACACATAAAACACAAAAAGAAAAAAAAGAAGATAGATTATTGTTGGATATTATACTCGATATTTAAGTTTTTTTTGGAGCCCAATGATGCAGCCCAAATAGAGTGGCCCTTTTAACTGAATGTGACCTGATTTGCCCCCACTTGTGCAGACTCGTGTTTTCCTCCAAATGCGACTTTAGTTTATTTTAACTGGATGGATCAGGTGATGTCAGGTGGAGTCGGTTGAACTGTTAGATGAAAGTGATTTTTCATTTACTTAGCCCTCGACTTTTTACTTACCATTCGATTCGAGAGACTTCTAGGGTTTTCGTGTGTCTTGTTCTCTATATGTTCCTTCTCTGAAAATTCTTGATTTTCATCTGTAATCTCTCGATTTCTAGGTGTTCTTGGTGAGATCTAGTATAGATTACAGTATTCTTATGATGATTCTACTCACTGATTGAGTGTTTGGTGCTGGTTACTTTGGTGTAATTTGCGGAGAATTCGTGTTTTTTAGAGTCTAAGGGCTAGATTTTTTCAGATATATTGTGTTGTAATCCTTGAACACTTGATATTTTTGTTAGTTCTAGTGGATTTGAGCGATAACCACTTAAAGTGGATGCTCAACGTGATGATTAGTCCTTTGTGGGTGAACATCTGGACTTAAGGGCGAAAAATCTTCGGTGTTTTTGCAATTTCTTTTATTATTTTGTTTACTTCTGGAATTGAAAATACCTACAATTATTTTCACATCAAAGATGTATGAGGACATACCCGCTCGGCTCATGCTCGGGCTCGTCTCTTTTACCCATAAAACACAAAAAGAAAAAAAAAGATAGATTACTTTCGCATCAAAGATGTATGAGGACATACCCGCTCGGCTCATGCTCAGGCTCGTCTCTTTTACACATAAAACACAAAAAGAAAAAAAAGAAGATAGATTATTTTCGCATCAAAGATGTATGAGGACGTACTTGCTCGGCTCATGCTCGCAAGCCTGAGCTGTCCATGAGCCGTCTTTTTACGAGTCGAGCGGTCGAACCGCTCAGCTTGATTGTCGCCCCTAGACACGTGATTTTAGACACAACATTAATAATTTCGGTCATGTAGAGATTCAGATACATAAATTTAAACATGTTCAAGATTTAAAGTCTCACTTTCGAAATTAGATCTCATTACCACATCTTGTAAAAAAATGTTGGGTCTGGACATTATTCGTTGTAGGATCAAAAATTAAGTTAAAATTTTTTACTACATCTTTTTCTCGCAAACACTCGTTTCACCGATATTTTGATCTTTACTCGAAAAAGAGAGATTTTCGTTTAAAATACTTTTTCATATTTGTTTGACATAAAACTCAACAAATAAATGCATACTAATCTATTTCAAATGAAAATTCCAATCATAAAAAACACAAACAAAAATTAACAATTTTTTGTAGGGTCAAGTGACCTCACATGAACCCATATAAATCCATCAGTGTCGTTGAAGGTTGAAGAGCTCATTTTTATTTTTTCCTAACTTTAATTAGTGCATTTAAATTTTTGTATTCTTTTTCTTTTGGGCTATTAAATAGTTTTAGAGAACAGAGCACGAAGTGAAACCTATTAAATTAAAAGCCAAAAATAAAAAAAATGCAGCTATTCCAATCCCTAATTTCAGGGATATTGTAATCTTAAATTGTTTTCCAGTCTCGGATCTTACAGTTTGGTCAAACCGCATTTATTAATTTCAGTGCTTCTAAAATTTGTTCTAATTTAATAAATTCCATGAAATTATATATTTCAAGTGTGTCAAATATTTTAATATATTTATCAATTAAAAAAAAAAACACACACACACACTATGAAGTTAGCATATTTACTTATTTTACTTTGTTTCGAGTATAACAATGAATTTTGTGTTAAAAGTTTGTCCATTATTTAAGCAAACTATGTTTAAAGCAATTTATTTATTTTTTATTTTTGGCAGCAAATTCGACATTGGTGTCTCTACATATGGAGTCGATAATAAGTGGATATGGAGATGAAGACAAAGAGAAAATATCGGAATAAATGAGAATTGAATTTTATGGTTTTGCCTCTTGCCCCTTGCCTTGTTTTCCTATATTTTTCAATCCCCAACAAATATTTGTTTGACCTTTTAGACCTTAGGATTGTAAATGGACATTATAAAAATTAAGATTAATTGTGGGATTTGTGAAATGATTGCATATATTGATATGATTGTCTCCCATTATAAGACTCCGATTAGATTCAAATTTCACAAATGATGTCATGCTAGGATTAAGTTGTTGCATGTCAAATGATAATAGACAAAGTAGTAGTGCTTATTTCTTAGAGTCAGTTGATTTTGATAAAAATGAGTGGTGATTTTACATAAAATGAGCGGTAAAAAGCGATTAGTAATTGTGGGTCATACGTAATTTGTGTTTAAAATCAATTATTGACTTTGATCTCAATTCTCGAACAACTTTTCAAGATTTTGTAAACAAGATATTCCTGATTATTTCAAATTTTTTACGTGGAGTGAATCACTTTGATAGCATAGTTGAGGGTTCTTATATTATTACAACAACTATACTATGCATTTATAACATCTCAATGCAAGTTGACACGGACTCCTTCAAAATGGCTTGTTAGTAGTTGAGACGTGTTGTCCAATTTAATTCTTGACACATCATCAATTTAGTTGGTTAATGGTGAAGTTAATGATGGTAAACTTGAAATAACATGCTAATTATTAATGACGTGTCAAGAATTAATTGGAAGGAAAGCAAAATGCAAGAGTTAATCTTGACTCCTTTGTTAGACGGAGAAACTCATCAAAATTAATATTTCATTTTGAAATTTAGACGTGATTTTATTTTTTAAGAAAATAAAAAGCACTTAGATAGCAATCCATATAATGCAATTGGAATAATTTTAGATTTGAATTTTTATTTATTAAAAATAAAGAGCACTTGGATAGCAATCCACATAATGAATTTGGACTATTTATTTATTAAACATTAACGCCGCATAAATCGATTCATTTTTTTAATTTTTTTTTAAACTTACGTGCCATATACAATAGTAATGCATGAATTGAGATGCTGTAGTACCTAATAATTTCATACTATTAACCTTTGTTCTTACCTCACTATGATTATTTCGAGCCTAACTTGTGTGATTAACTTACCTTCCCAAGCTAATTGTATTATTTTTCCATGCATGTTTGGATTTCATTATAAGTTGTTAAAATTATAATGATATAGAAATAAAT